GCTCACAAGAAAGTCTCAGACCCCAGACTCCAACATCTCAAATGCCTGGGCAGGATGAATGTAGGCATTGTTGTGTCCTGCATCTTGTCTTAAATAAGGCTCTCGAAGCTTTCTTTGGGCAGAGACTTCACCTTTGTTTTTGTTCATACCATATGCCACCCAACATGACCCCACAGATGTGAAGGCTTGAAAGCATTTTTAATGGGCACAGGATCATCCTTCCTGTCCTGACCCAGTCCCCTCTCAGTTTCTGCTAGTTTTCACACTAATAATGTATTCTGCATTTCCCATGTGTCTGTGTAATCTTGCTGGTTACTGTATTTCCACACCAGAGATGACTGTACTTCCAGGGGCTGGTAAAGTACCAGAAGATCTTCCCAAAGCATACCCTACACAAGATTTAAGAGGTTTACATCCTTTAATAATTATTCTCCCAATTTACATGAAGTTTGAGCACCCAACACATTCCTGAAATTTAACATATCTGTGATTTTGAGGTTGCAAAAGCAAAACTTGTTTATGCAATCCACTGCTCAACTCAGTTCCCCAGAGCTGATTTAACTGCAGGTCTCCCATAAGGAATGACAGGATCTAATTTGTGGCTCCTGAATGCCATGAGGCAGGAGAAATGCACCCAGCACTTCGACTCAGCTTCCCTAGCCATGTGCAAAAGCAGAGCTTGAAACAGCTAAGAGTAGCTTTGCCAGAAGTCTGAGCATTACAGGGCATTCCAAATGTCTAAACAGATTATACAAGACATAATTTTGGAAGGCATCTCTGAACATGGAGTTTCTAAGCTGAAGTTAAGTCAGTTCTATTCATCACCTCCATAGAGTTTTGGGTTGCACCCTTAAGGAGTTGCAGGAATTAGAGACAGAATGCCTGGGTATTGTTTATGTTTCTAAGGTACAGTTTAAGTGGGATTTCATGCTGCACAGGACTTACCCGTGCAGGCTTTTCATCCAGACTATCAATCAGCTTGGTAATTTTCTTCGTTAGCTGATTCCCTTGTAGTGTTTGATCTTTGCTAAAAATAAAAAGTGTCTGGGCACTTGACTATGTTGTGAGAGCTACAGCTTTCCTCTATTTAGGAGTGAATTTAATCTTGTAGTTGACTGGCAAATCCTGATTTTGAAGTACTGTGCTTCAGAGAATTACACACTTCTCATTTCATCTTCATTTCTGCTAAACACCACAACATGCTGTGCTTGGCAGTACTGCATAGGTTGCCTGCACCACTCAATACAACCGTGATATCCAAACTATTCAGGTGGTTTACAAGGCAGGCTTATACTTCATTTGGCATTTTGGAGCAATTAGTAACTCTTATTTAGGAAAGTATTGATTCTGAAATAAGACAAATACCTTCTTTAAAATACAAAAATACAGAAAAGAAACGTGTGTAAGAGACAAAAGAGTCTGTACATGGTTTCCACAGAGCACCTGGAAGGGCATATAGAACAAAAAAATGCCAAAGAACTAAATGAGCCAACAGCTCTATCCAGCTAAAATCATCTTTTATTCTTTCTAGCAAAAGTAAAAATCTGTGTAGCTGTGGATAGTAGTTTTCAGTTTCTTTTCAACAGATTCTTTATCCATGTGTCCTTTAGCCACGGTTCAAAGCTTTCCACAAACGTCCCTCAGAAATAAAGGTAAATTTAGAAGCTTACTCCATCAGTACACCATGGTAGCACCAGAAGTCTTAACTCCCTAGTAAAAATGTGGCACCTCCTAAACAAGTAAGTGAAAAATTGTGACAACTGCTTTTGAAATTAATTTACGATAAGCATTTGTGTAGCAAATTAAGAGTTATCCATTTAAATAAAAAGACTTATTTAATAAGAAGGCCTACAAGGAAGCTGGGGGGGGACTTTTTACAAGGGCCTGTAGCGACAGGACAAGGGGTAACGGGTTTAGATTGAAAGTGGGGAGGTTTAGATTGGATATCAGGAAGAAGTTCTTCATGGAGAGGGTGGTGAGGCACTGGAACAGGTTGCCCAGAGAAGCTGTGGATGCCCCATCCCTGGAAGTGTTCAAGGCCAGGCTGGATGAGGCTTTGAGCAACCTGGTCTAGTGGAAGGTGTCCCTGCCCATGGCAGGGGGCTTGGAACCAGATGATCTTTAAGGCCCCTTCCAACCCAAACTATTCTGTGATTTTATGAAGACTTTGATTTTCTTGAGCACCAACCTCATCCAAATTTTAATCTCACAATTGAAATCTTGCCACAAGTTTTGAGAATAGCTTCGACCCTGTCATATAGGTAAAAAGAAATCTCTGCTTTCAACTGAGACTTTTTTTGCACTTCTTAACAAAAGAAATAACAAATTAAAAAAATGTGGATCCAAAAGCTGGGAGACGCCCAGTTCATACAGATTGTGGTGAGGTCAAAATACTGATTGCCCCACAAAATTCATAACCAAATTCTGTTCTCACAATGGTACAAAACCCAAGTAGTTCCACTAATGCTTGTTCAGTTACACAGAATTATTCCTGTATTAGTGCACCATGTTGACTTTGAAGCTTTATTACACATTTTCCCTGATAGTTCCTCGAATGTGCAATGTGGAATGTAAATACTAGGGTAATTCGTAGAAAGCAATGAGTGGGCTGCAGTAAAACGGCAGTAAACAATTTTGTTATATGAGGTTCATGCTGCAAACATGAATCACATGAGCAAAATGAATTCCAGATAAGTCGCTGCTGTTATTATGTTCTGCTTGAGTTTTTGTTATTCTATCAGTGTTCCAAGAATATTTTAATCTTTAAAATAGTATATTTTTAAAAGCCTATTAAAATTTGAAAGAGACACTTTCAATTAAAAATGATACTCTTAAAAAAGCCACTTGAGCTGGCAATAAATCTGCAGCTTACTCAAGTTTTAAAAAACGTAAAACTTCATTTATTCTTCATTGTAAGTGGTAGGAGATATTTACTTTTTGATATGCTCAAGCTGATAATGGAATTGGAGTCTACTATCAATCCCTGATAGCTGGAAAGCTCATTTAGTGGCAGTCTGACACTGTGGTAGGTAACTAATAATTTGTAACTAATAATTAACTGCGTTGAACAAGTCGCTTCAGCAGAGGCTTTCTGGTTCTGCTTCATGTCTCATATTTTGTCTGGTCCAATTTGACCACAGTGCAAACACCTTTTTCTACATACTGAAATGAAACTCAGTCCAAGAAGCCCTTGATTTTGGTTTGACTATCATTTCACTAGTCTTGGGATGGCAAAGATGGGTTGTACATTTTGAAGACTCTTCTTTCAAAAATCCTTTCCTTTCTCCCCAGAATGTAACTGTGGCGGAAGAATGTGTGACAGCCAGACTGGGGAATGCCTCGCTGACAGTCCTGAGGTTTCTACCGGCACAGACTGCCCAACCATCAGTAAGATTATCAAGAGAACACCAAAAATTAATATCGCTCTTATATTTAGATGCTTACAAATACTAACTTAAGAGCCCGGTTCTCCAGTGGGCTCAGCATTTTGACCTTGGTCCTACAGAGCACTTAAACATGTGAATATGCATAATGCCCTGCTGAATACTTAAACTTGTTCTCACTTCCTTGGCTGAATACATGCATATGTCCACCTCTGTGATACAGACTGGATGTTTAGGCGGAAACTTCAGAAGTGTAGGAAAGTATCACCAAAGCCACTTCCCTAGATTTTGAGACACAGCACCTGCAAAATAATATTACAGCCCTAAAAGCAGCCATCCCAACTTTATCTGTGCTCTCTTGCATATCACTTCTGGTTTTCTAGTTGTACACCTCATACAAATTGCTGCTGTTGACAATTTGACATACATCCATCAGGCAGTTGCTTTTCCACTATCATCTCCCCTATTCCAATGATAACAAGCCTGGAGAGTTTCTAGTAGCACTAACTACTGGTAACCACTGGTATTTTTTTTAAATGTCAGTATAATAATGCCTGTGGTATAATGCAGACCCCATGGTGCACATAGGTTCCTAAACCAACTCCCAAGAAGAGGGGTGCAACCAGAAGGAAATCATTTGAGAGCTGCTGCCATCAAGACTATACAATACCAAGGAAAAGTTTCTGTAGGAATCAGTGTTTCGCGTTCACCTATGTCTCTTGCAGTTAGTAGTGTCACCAATGTCACTCAAAATAAGGTGGTATTCCAGGCATTTGGCAGGGACAAGGATATAGTTCTGCACAAGCATATTCCAAATGTATTGTAACTGTGGTTTTAGAAGTTGCCTTCCTAATCAAATAGGCAGCCAAGAGCCCATCTGCTGGGCATCCTTATTTCTCATTCCACCAAATTTTAAACACAGGGTTTTGAGTTCTGACATAATGAAGTTGGTTTTTTGACCCCCATCTGTTGTACTTCGGGCTACAAACATGCAGAGCCCCTAGGGAATAGCCAGGAAATGCCTCCTCTCTCTCTCCCTACTGATTACAGTGCTGCTGCAGCAGCCTCTCAGAGTTGTCCCATCTGGTGCTGCTCAGCTGGAAGCATCATGACTGTACTATGGGACCTTGAAGTGGGTGAGTGGAAATGAAAGATAAATGGGTATCCATCAGGATCCACCAATGGCTAAGAAAGGGAACACCATGCGGCAAGAGCACTATAAACTGAATTTAAGATATTTGCTGCTCACTGACACAAACACTAAAGAAAATTACACTCTCTTATTTTCTTATCAGGCTGTGACAAATGTATTTGGGATTTGACAGACGACATCCGATTAGCAGTTCTGGCTATTGATGAAAGCAAATCAACTTTACTGAGCATTTCTACAGGTGTTGCAGCTCAAAAGCGCTTGAATGACCTGAACCTCACTGCTACCCATCTCCAGGTACAAACATCAGATGATATTTTATTTTTTAATGTAATTTTAATCTGTGAATTTCCGTAGCATTCTGTAGATTTTAATCCCTGCCTCAGTAGAGAAATATTTGTTTTTCAGATGTACTGACTTTTTTCCCCACACTCACAGGAGGCAATGTCCAAAAAAAAGAATCATGCTGTGCTTTGGACCATGCAAGTCGATGATGCTGCAGATGAAATGAATGATCTCCTGAGAGAGGCAGCAACACTTGATGAACAGGTTTGTTTATAGCCCCCTGCCAGAGCTCTGGGGGTTTGTGGTTTGTCATAGTCACAGGCTGGTATAAAAGGTTAGTATAGAATAGTTCAGTCGGAAGGGACCTACAATGATCATCTAGTCCAATTGCCTGACCACTTCAGGGCTGACCCAAAGTTAAAGTGTTTTATTAAGGGCATTGTCCAAATGCCTCTTGAACACTGACAGACCTCTCTAGGACTCTAGGACTTTCATTCCACTGTTTGACCACCCTCTTAGTTAAGAAACATTTCCTAGCATCCTGTCTGAACCTCTACATCCACTAGGCCAGAGAAGGAGTGCCTTCAAAGATAGCTGGGAGAACTTCCTATTTCTGTTTTCTATATCTAGACTTTCTACTTTATTTTACCTCTGAATTAAAAGCATAAATGTCCTACCAACTCCTCTTCCCAGAACAGAAAGGATGTACGGCCAAAGTCCTTTGAATGTGGTCAAGAGGTTTGTCACCAGTCACAAAAAGCCTCCTCTCAGGTTCTAAATCCCCACCTACCCCCGCTACACGTCTGATCTGAGATTAACACACTGCCTTTCTGTTTCACATTTTGTTTTCTAATTAAGCAAAGTAACCAATGCTAAACTAATTCAGATTGACTTTGGGAATATTTGTACTATATCTATTTTACGTGTATGCTTTCATAAAATTAAATTAGCCAGGATTAGATGCAAAACTGTAAGTTTAAAAGGTTTCTCACATACCCATTTAGATGGGAGCCTGAGCAGCACTCAAGATATATTTTAACTCAATTGTAATCATAAATGTTGCATCCACATTCAATTGCCAGGCTATAAAATTAACATTATCTGCTCTCAGCTCACATAACACTTTTATTGCACCCTAGATGAATACTGATATGATACATGTTAAGAGAATAGGGTTCAAAATTGCTTCTCCTCTATTTTAAAGAGATATTATTAAACATCTTTCTGTTGCTAAGATATGTATATATTAGTGAGATACATCACACTATGTTATTCCCAGAGATAATCACAGCTATAGTATGACTAGAGTATATTTCATGCTTATTGTAAAGTGCCAGACCTTACCAATTTCTTCAGAGGACAAATTAAAATTATACCTTAGACTGAAACTCAAATACAAGAGCAAGTAGGAGAAAAAATACAAAGGAAGAGGAGAAAAGATTCTATAGAGAGATTTGGGTTTGGGTGTTTTTAATCAGAACTTAATTAGCAGAAACAGCACTGCAGAATTGCACAGACTGTGTTCAAAAGTGAGGTTTGATTAAATCAGCTCACACCCCCACACACCCGTACCTGTGAAAATCTGGCAGTGCCTACACAGCTCAGTGTCCCTCTATGTAGTTTGTAGGCAGGGTGATTAAGGCAATAGGCTTTGTAGGAATATTTAGTGAATTTGAATAATAACAGTTTTGTCATCTTCAGTACTACATGGGGATTTGTTAGCTTGTTCCTCAGTTTGACTGTCCCTGAACAAATAAATTCAGTGTTTCCTCTGGTCTTTTTTCCCTGGTTATTTCTAATATTTGTTCCATGTGAATACTTGTGATTGCTTATAATGGCAGGGAAATAATGGCCCCAGACTCTCACAGGCGAAGGAAGGCCACAGTAATAACTCTGAATATATTGAACTTTTTGCTCTTTCAAGGCATTTTTATGGAAAACAGGTGCTAGGTCCTTGAGTGGGTTTTGCAGAGATGTGCTTCATCTTCCATTCAGAGTATCCCACGTGCACATCCCAGTGTCTGGGGGGTTGCTGCAAATTCAGATCTAAACCCAAAGGCAGGATGAATGTGCCAACTGTAGGCAAATCCTCCTGCTAAAAGAAGAGCAAGTGTGACCTGTAACTCCCTGAGTCTGCTTGGAATGAGCTTAAAATAAAACAGGACATAGCTCCATCCTGAACGTTTGGCAGAGGCTTTGGGGAGCTGAGTGCCTTTCCTTCTTCCGCTCTTAGCAAATTTCAGGACGAGCCTCTGTACATCAGTGGGAATTTGAGGGGTCGCTAAGAGCGCCCCTCACTCACGCAACTGTGATTCTCATCAATCTCATGGCAATCAGCAAACCTGTCTCAGCAATTACCCAGATGTTCAATAGTTAAAGATGCGGCGAGTAGAGTATTATGTAAAGGCAAGTGTGTGTAAAAACAGTAACAACTTGCTTAAAATAAGCATGAAGTGGCAATGCTGAGCAACAGAGCGTGTGCAAGAAACCCTGATAGCAGTAAAGGGATACAAATGAAAAACATAGTCCTTGCCCTTCAAAGACTGAAAAACCAAGCAAATAGAAACAGCACTGAAACCTTTCCATAAACCCTGCCATTTGTGCTCATTGGGTGCCCATCCATTTCTGTAGCACCGGCTGCCCGGCCCTGACATCACGTGACAGCTGGTGCCCCTGCAAACCTTGAGCAAAACCACCTTCGTGGGTCATGGCTGCTGCCAGTGCCGAGCCTGTTGGCACAGCACCCCTGATCCCTGCGGACTGGGCACGGCAGCCAAGTCTGCAGGTCCCTTCTTGCTCCATCAAGCAAGTGTGACGTGAACACACCAACAGCCAAGTATCTTCTGGCTGACGAGGCAATAGGACACCCCAAACCCAGAAACTAATTTTACAGTGGGAATTTTCGCTGTGGCAGCCCCAGCAGAGGCTTTCCAGGAAGCATGATCATTATAACATGGTAAATGTTCATTTCCCTTACACTGTCAACTGGTGCTTCGCCACACATCCTGTTGGGGACCAAATGGCCTTGTGTCCATACCAGGGAATGCCTGAAAGGTAATGCAGCATTGGAGTGTGGCTATACTTGTCAGAGCATTTTGAATCCTCACGCTTTTCCTTAATTTTAACAAGTTGCAGGGCTGGGGACTTCACATGAGGGAGCCACTGATCTAAAAATGGTTGTGAGCTTGACACTTCATTCTTCGGTCTATATGCTTACTCAGGAAATGCCATACCCAGCCCCGCTGAATGCCTAGGAGACTCAGCAGATGGGAGTTTTACAACTGTACATAATTTATGGCAATTTGATTGCAGCAAATGATGGATAAATATGGGACAGATTTTAATCTCTCACTCTGCAATCCTGAAAATACCGACAAGACAGCCCTTCGCCTCAAACACTTCTGTAAATACCAATTTATATGATAAATGGATTTTCACATACTCATCAAGAAAAAGCAAAATGTGTATTTACACTGCTCATCCTCACACACGCATATGGATCTGAAAAGAAATCTAATGCCTAGCTCACATGGTTTATTCATAGGGAAATGAAGCATCCAGCAAAGGCCTACTGGTACAGAAGGAAACCATGGAGACCAACAGCCGTGCTACTCAGCTTGTGCAGCAACTCAGTAATACGAGGGATAACATTCAAGGTAAATAGATTTCTTTCTGGTTCAGCTCAATGTCAAGCATGTATTGATGAAACCTCCAGCAAAAAAATGTCATAGCACCTGGGCGCTCTCGCAAAGCAACTCACACACAAGGCGTTTACAGCCTGCAGTGCCGTGATGAAAAGTTGCCTCTCATAAAAGAGAATGGACACCACAGGCTGACTTGGTCTGACACGCAGAACAAGAGCTTCTCTTTCTTTTTCTCTCTTTTTGACAGAGAAAAATAATAAAAAATAGATTTATGTGAAATACTTCAAGATAATTCAGCTTGTAGCCTTTGTTTGCTTGAATAGCTGCTCAAGGTATTTATATAGACTTGTGGTAAAAAAAGGAGTCGGCATCAGATTGGAATGGGATGTAGCCATAAACGCAAGCATAGGGTGGGACATGAGAGTGCTCCATGTCTTACTCGCCAGCAGATTCATGCAAGTGCACTTTCTCCCCTCCTGACAATTAGTAATGGAGGCCATATGACTAGCTAGAAAGGTTTTTTTAAATGGCGCTTTCTCTTTGGAACTCCTGGCAGACAGTTAGGTCTGATTAACTCTGGTGAAACCACTGGTGAGCGTTACTTTAAATCCAGTTTTTGCCTTTTAGCAAACTGTTGCTAAGTAGGATTGTGCTGGTTCATAAAACTTCATGCAGATGCTTCTAAAAAGAAAAGGGTGGGGAATAAGAAATAATTTGGTGAACTTAGGCTTCCCTGGGCTCAGTGTGGGAGGTAGTGGTGATTTTCTTTTCAAGATGCTTATTGCTTCACCTGACCAGAATTTCCAATTGAATTTGGGTCCAGACACATCTACACAGCAGTACAGACTAGCTGTTCTTTGGTGTAGGGTTTTTACAGATGTAGAACTGGAAAACTGCATTCTCACTGCCTTCTCTTTCCACAAAGCAGGCGCTGCCTCTAGTAAAAGTGAAATCAGAATTGTAAACTATGTGGCTCGTGCAGACTGTCAGAGACAGTTATAGTGATGCTGTTTCACAGTAGGAGAGGTAAACATGATGATGAAGTTCTCACAAATTAGGAAAAGAATGAAACCAAGAGCTTCTTCATGTTAAAATGTGGGCACAAACTGTCACCTATTGTCTCGGTGTCCTGCTCATCTGTCCATATGAGGTGCGGGGATGCAGATAAAACTTATCTGCATCCTTGGACAACAACGTCAGAGCTATGAAAGCATCTCTAGAACTAGCATAAATTTCAAAACATAACTTCTCTTCTGACTGTAAGTGTATATATTTTACACATTCCCAGATTCTTTTTTTTTTATTATTATTTAGGGCCTGCCAAACCTCTTGCATCTTCAAGAATTTTTACTGTACTATATATTAAAGGATAGATGACACCAGTGAACACATTCCCTAGCACAAATGCATTTAGAAAAGGTTTCCTAGTCAGATATGATCATCTTCATCTGGAATATCTATGACATATCATTATCATGCTGGTATATAAAACTGAGATTAAACCAATTGCAGCTTCTTCTTCTGTACCTACAGAGAGCAATAAAACCCCAAGTGAATGTACTCAGAAACACTGTTGTCCCCTGTACACCAGAATCACAGAAGCCTCCATCCTGCCGCAGA